CTTCAGCATCATCTATCACCTGCTATATTTGTAACAGGAAGGTGTTGGCACCGTCCCTTTCTGCCATTTTCTCGAGCTCATCCCCACTCCCATTCTCCCTGGAGCTGGGCTCCCCGCTGGAGAATCCCAGTGTACTTTTGGTCAGGCAGCACTCGCCGTGGCCAGCAATCCTGGCATTTCCTAGCAGGGCTTCTGGGAGCAGCAAAGGACTGGATAAGGATGACCGTGCAATCAAGACATGAGCTCGAGGGGTTCGACAGGAACCCAAGCCACAAAGGGGAGGGATGTGACTTCTGGATTGTGGCGAGAAGAGTTGCTCAGACGGCCCCCACGCTAGCTGCATAAGCCTCCTGTAGGACAACGTTCATTTTCAGGTTGTCAGTTACGGCTTTACGATGGCTCTTAAACTCGTTAAGACCGTTGCTTAACTATTTCCCCTTCTTGTCACTGGCCTGTCTCACCCCATAACCACAGATGCAGGCCACGGGAGCAGAAGTTGACAGTGCAGAGAGAGATGCTCCACAACGCCCAAGGACGGAAGGGCTGAAGGATGGAAGGAAGGACGGGGAGGGAGACCGCAGGCCGCCACTGGTCAGGGCATCGTTCAGATCTCTCTGGCAAAGACTAAAATGCTCTCTTCTCCCCACCCTCTCACCTCAGCGGAGGTGCTTCACAGAAGGCCTCTTACTTTCTTTGCCCCTTTCTCAAGATGACTTCCTCCAGTGCACTCAACCCATCACCATGCCTGCAGCTGTCACAGAACACAGAAGTGGGACTGAGGGACCAAAAGTGCCCTTTCCCCAAAGTTTAAGATGAAAACAAAAGCAAACAGGAACTGCTGGTCTCCCTGGGCCAAGCACAGGTGTGAAGCGGGGGGTGTTAAAATTAAACTTGCCCCTTTCTGGTACTGCCATCAAGTCGAAAACAACTCAGCTTCGACCCCGTGCTAGACAGAGCCAATGGTGGAATTTTTCCATCGCTGGGAAACTGTGCCAGCATGGGAAAACAAGTCTGGACACATTTAGTATTTCTAGTCCCTTTCTCCAGAAAAGGGGCTCAGAAAAGGTGAGTGATTTGCCCGAGATCACACAGCAAAGCAAACTGCAACAGCCCCCAAGTTCATGTCTGGCTCTGAGGTCCCTTCCCTGTAAACATGTGCGAAAGCAGACAGATAAACACCCTGCCTGCCTCCCTGTGCTCCCACCAGCAGGCAGCAGCTCTGTTTTCTACTCCTTGCTGCCAAGCTGGGTCCATAGGGCTGGGATCCGCCTCAGTGGTATGTTTTCTCGGGGATGGGAGTGGGAATGGGAGGATCCAACTCCTTTTGTCACACCTGGTGTTAATTTTGGTTCAGGGGAGTTCAGCATTCAATATCAAATGTAGAGGTGTTGCTATTTTTACCGCAACCAGAATGAAGGTGGAGGGAGGGAGAGAGAGAAGGGTTATAGAGTGAGGTGAACCAGCTTCTTAAAGTAGCTTTATCTACAGAGGCAGACGCTGCAGCCCTCACACCACAAACAGCCCATCTTGGGGTGGGGGGGATGGAGGATGAACGGAGCCCACAGTTTCCACTGCTGGCCTAAGCTAGGGTGTGGGGGGCTTCTGAGCTGCTCTTTCTGGACTCAGGCTGAGGGTCCACCTGATTAAGGGATCAGAGTTCGCTGGCCAAACTCATCTACAGCGGCCCGGAATGAAGCTGAAGCTGAAGCCTGCAGCAAAAGGCTGGCCCCTCCCCACGACAGCATGCCGGGCATCCCTGTCCCTTCCCCATCTCCTTTAAAATAGGACCCACACCTCCTGAGCACACAGGGTGGGCTCAAGGGTGACAGCGGGCCAGGCCGCAGCATCCTGTGCACAGCCTAGCCAGCAGAGCCCATCTTCAGACACGAGGCTAGCCCCAGACGGGCAGCAGAACCAGAGGTCACATTCGAGTAACTACTACCATTTTTTTAAAATTACACACAAGGAGCTAGCGGTCCCCCCCTCCCCCCTCCCCCCAGGAACACAGACAGGTAACACACAGGTAAGAGCACACTCACCTGCGCTCTGACTTCCTGACTCTGAGCCGCTCAGGCCAAACGAGGAATGTCATTGGCTTATTCTGCTGAGCTCCTCAGTGTCTGCTGCTACAGGATACAGGCTTTCCTGAACATAGCGAGTCCGTTCACTCCCCTAGTCAAGACCTCGCACCCCGTCCGGAGAAAATCTCCTCGAGGCATCAACCTCCAAGGCATCTAAGTTCCTCCCTGGGGCTGACATCTCGCTCGGTCTGGAGGTGAGCTGGTTGGAGACGCCTGAGCCTGCAGTCCCCGCTCCAGCGAAGGTGCATTTATTTATCGCAGCTGCTGTTTTCATTAATACGGAGACATACTCAATACCGCTCGGTAATTTTCTCAGCACCCTCAGGCTGGAAAATAAACCACTCCTCCCCGCTGCGTGTGATCAGCTCTCTCTCAGAGTCTGGTTCTAGCTGCCGGCTCAGCATGTGTGCAACTTGAACCGAGGCCCCAAACCAGCCCAAGTGCTGGGCCACCTGTCAGTTCTCCACCCGGGGGTTGGTTCCACAAGCAGGCACTAGCTTAACCTCTGGCTCCACCTAACGACAAGAGATCCACACTCCCCTTTCACAGATGGGCAAACTGAGCTTCATCCAGAACGGTCTCCAAAGGAGGAAACTAATTCAGCGAAGAAGACCAACGGTCCTGTTTGGCCTTCCGCGCTGTCATTTCCTCCCCCTGCCATCTCACAGGACGGAATGTGGGTGTCAACATTTTTGGTTGGCATCTTGGATTTCTCCAACCCTTTGTCTGAGACTAAGCACTTCACACATATCTTTCAAACAATCTTTATGGGTGAGTCACTAGAAGGTCTGCTGAATAATGAGGAACAAACACAGAAGCCTGAAATGGAGCCGAAAGACAAGAGGCACAAATGGTACCTGAAGTCCAGCCCTGGGTTCTGGCCCAACATCCTCTCTGACCTTTGCCTGGCTTTCCCAGCACTCGCATCCCGTTAAAGCACTTGGGCAGGGAGAGCTAAGTCGCCGGCTGGCCCGGCCAGGGGAGGGTCTGCGCTCACCTTTAAGTCGGGAGGCTTGCTTCGGGGTCCCGGGTTGGGCGCCGACGCAGCGATGGCCAGCCCGGGCCGGGGGTCCGCGCCGGGCAGGTGGCAAACGGCATCTTCCAGCCCCGCTCCATCCTCCTCTCCCTGCTGTTGCTGCAGCTCGTCCGATTTGCACCTCTTCATGCTGTATGTGGGTCGGCCCGGGGAATCTGTCCTTCCGGGGAGCCGTCTTGGGGGGAGACCGCACCCCCTCTTACGCTCAGACACGAGGCCCAGGGTCTAAATGACCAACGAGGGAAGGAGTCGACGGAATACAATTTCTTGGATCGAGAAATAAATCTTTAAAGGAGAGGGAGGGAGGACCGAGGAGGGGAGCCTTGGTTACAGCTTGGAATAGTTCCCGACGACCTGGAGCGCGGAGCACAGCGGAGGCTGGCCGGCGGGAGTCCTTGGGCGGTCATGGCAGCGGGAGGGGGAGGCGGGTGGCCCCCGGCCCCCGAACTTTCTGCTTCAGGGCGCGGGTCGGGCAGGGGAGCTGAGCAGCGCAGCGCA